ACATCGTAGGAGGTTAAGTTAGCGTACTTAAGTAGGTAGTGTAAATAGTACCCATGTGAAATTATTGTAGTAACGGTGAAGTGTAGCAGAGGTGTTCTTGCATAAAAACGGCAAGGTCGTAAGAGGCATTCACTTTCGCATCTACTATTTAGTAAACACGCCTCGCGTACCAGCAGCGTGTACCCGCGCTGCCCACTGCTCGTTACACCCCCCCCCCCCCCCTCTCGCCCCTCGCCCCCGGTGCGGCCGACCGTCCGCCTCTCCGGCACAATTATGATTATTTCTCAAATTACTACCACAGCATTACTACTTAGCTAAGATGTTCATTTACAAAGAGTGAAATGTGATGGAATCCCCGAGTGCTTAGGGCGCGTACACATAGCGATCCGCTTTTATAGATCCGTTATTTGATAGCGTATGTAAGTAAGTAGTTGGGGCATTCCACGGTGACGGGCGGGACAAACTTTCGATGTGTAAAGATATTGGTTAGAAATTTAATTATAATTCTCAACAAATTTTGAATAGAAGAATGTGACGGTCGCAAGAAGTAGGAAATGCGTGTGCAATGCAATATATTATTTATATCTTTAATAATGGATTTTTAAATTAAGTATGCGTAATGTGTCATCACACTGGCGTCATCAATGTGAATTTTACCTTCACCTAGTAGCGTCGGATTTGTTGAAAATCGGTCCTGTATATGCTGTGTAAATATTAACCTTCAGGAGCACGGATCCGTTAAAAAGGATCCTGTAAAAACGGACGTTGTATGTGTACGCGCCCTTACATTACTTGCAATATTTTGTACAGGTTGAACAGACTCGATTGAGCTGCGCCAAATAGACTCGGTATCAATGAGCATAGCAATAAAATTTTTCTTTCGCATTTTTTGGTGGTCTTTCAGATATTAAGTATAAAAATAATAAGGGACCTTATCTTCTCTGTATCTGTAAAGTAAGGAAAATAAAGTAATTTTATAAATATATGCAGATAATTTTAAATCATCAGCATTAGCACCATTCAGTATATCATCAACTAATGTTGATTATAAGATATCCATCACAAGTTGATAATGAGGTGTTTGAGATTTCTTTAAAGTCGCAAACAAACCAGCCCGCCTAGCTAGAGCACCGCGATATGATATATTACTCGTTTTTATCACGCAAATCAAATTACTATGGAGTTTGACAGTTAGACGCGATAAAAAACGTGATATAACGTAAATTGAGGTGCTCATGCTACAGGGACTGAGCCGCACTAAGACGTTAAATATTACGGATATGATACCTACATAATAAGGATATTAAACATGTGACTCGGGCGGGACAAATGCTTGAGCTCATCAAACAAATAAATGCCCCTATCGGGGATTGATATCCGGTCTCTTGGGTGAACCGAACCAATCTTCTACCTACTAATATTATAAAGAGGAATGATTTGATTGTTTGTATGTTTGTCTTTATTTGTATTGAATAAGCTCCAAAACTACTGGATCGATTTGAAAAATTCTTTCACATTTAGAATCCTCCATTATAGATCTCTGATGAACATACTTTATAGAGTATTTACAAAAAAGTTAGGGTTCCGTATAAAAACTTCGACTAACCCAATGTGTGCAAAAAATACCAAAATATAATCTTATATCGCGTTGCGGAAGTCATTGACAAAGTGGTGTAATAAAGTTTTATAGAGCACATTCATATCTACAAAAAAGTCCGCGATACCATATGTCTAACTATTACTGTTACGTCACAAATAGAGACCCCTGCAGTTTTACCCGCGTTAATTTGTAGAAAAAGGTTATAGTAAGTCAAACTTAAAATAATTACATATGCTGTCGCAGACTTTTTTATAGAACTTTTTATAGGGGAACAATTCCGTCATACATGATTTTGTGTAATTTGAACCGTTTACACAGCGCACGCAACGAAAGCTCACAAATGCAACATTTTTACCCGTTTTTGCAACATTTTTCATCGATGCTCTGCTCTTGCTGGTCCTAGCGTAATGTTACATAGCCAAACCTTCCTCAATAAATGCACTATCCAACAAAAAAATGTTATTTCGAATCGGACAAATATTTTCTGAGATTTGCGTGTTCAACCCCCAAAAAATAATGAATATGGCCGAATCAGACTTATGAAACGCGACGCCACGCCACGCCACGCGTGTTGAGTCAAATCAAAATGTGCTAATTTCTTAGACCAGAATCACATCAGAAACATGAAAACATCCGACGCGATGAGTAGTTAGTCCAGGCAACGAATGCTCAAAAACAGGTATAGAGGGAAATGCTTGGAACACAATTTTTGACTTCGTAACTTTGTTAGGACTAGTTAGGAGGTAAACATATCAAAAGTCCCCGCCCGTAGCCCTTAAGCCGGGGGGAAGGGGGGGGGGGGGGATTGAAGGTTCCATTTTTAGGTTTTTCGCATATATCTCGAAAACTATGCATCCTAGCGACATGAGACTTCAACAAAAATTGAAAGCTGATTAAGTTTGCTACAACTCTTTAATCAGTCAATATTTTGATATCTTGTATAGTTTTCGAGATATCCGCTCTTGAAAGTCTGTAATTATGGAAAAAAAAATTTGCTTCACATTTTTAAGAATTGTGTTCTAAGCATTTACCTCTATACCTTTTCGTTGCCTGGACTAAGTGCAATAATTATGAGTGATAAAAGTGATGGGTGTGTACAAACCACTGCATCCCTAGATACATTTAATAGAATAGAGAGAGAATATACTGTTGGTGGATCTACTCAATTCCATGGAATTACTTCTGAAATATCGTCTGGTAAGGAGGACACACTTTTTTAACAACAAAGCAAATGGTGCATTCTATACAACGAGTCCTAAACTACGCCACAATTTTTCAATATCAGTTACATAAATTTCCATGCAAGGTTTAGGATTATATCAAGTCATTGTGTATAATACAAGCCTGAGAAAAATAACTATAGTGTACACTGCAGCTCTAAACCGAAGCGAAGCGAGGGCGGGCCACTAGTACATTTATAAGTAACATATTGCCATGCCAACTAACATTGTAATATTTAAGTTTTTTTTGAAGTTATACTTCTTTAGCCGCGTTATGAAAAAATTATGAGAGTGAAATTTTAAGATGCGCGCGCATCACTGTAACACAAAAGTAACATAATGAAGTTAGCCGCGGGCGCGTTATGAAAAAATCATGTGAGTGAAATTTCGAGATGCGCGCGCTTCACTGTAACACAATAGTAACAAGTTGGCCGCGGGCGCGTTATGAATGTTAGTGTCTAATAATGGTGGATTATTAACCACTTAGTGGTTAATAATCCACCATTATTAGACATCTGTTCGAAAGGTACTTTGAACGATCCACGGAGCTCCATAAGATGATCGCGTTGTCAAAAACAATGTTGGCACGCTCGTCGCGTCTGATCACTGTTTTCATATTTATAATATTTATCCACATGTTTCTACTTTCTATATAGACACAACGTGTTTTAGTTACTTACAAGTGCTAATTACATATGGACTAATAACTTAAATTCAGTAGTGATTTTAATTGAATATTTTAAATATTTATTTAATTTTTCAAATTAAAACTGAACTTAATTGACTGTGGTAACTATCCTTTTCCAGTCCTTTTATTATTTTATTGTAATTATTAATTATTTGCATGCAATTAAAAAATATTTTTAATGATGCTAAAGAAGTATAACTTCTCACGCGCGTACATAAGTTACACGCATCCATTTTTTTTACAAAACAGCATAATATGAAGGGTGCACAATGTATAAATTTAAACATTATCACAAAAGTTCGATTTTTTTTTGTTAGTGAAAAATAATTGTTATAAATGTTTCTTTTTATCTTTTTATTGTATATACATATTATAATTATTATCAAGCATTAGTTTCTATTGATAAAAATAGCATTCCAATTGTTATGTCAATATTCTGAATATATTCGCCATTAGCATTCGTTGACCTGAGACCGCTATCATATGCGTAGCGCGTCAAATATTTTAATAGATTTGTTTACGCTCTACACCAGTACCTCAGTTGTACCCGTCTCAATTGTGGTACGAATAATTAGCTTTGAATTTTTGCACGTGATTAATTTATCGTGTCTAATTAGTGTTATGCAATGATTGGAGCGCGAATCGTTGGATCGGATCATTTGGTACACGCGAGGTCATCCGCGCCCGGTGCGCCCGAGTTCATCGATTGTGACCATTGCATATATATTATGAAGTGTCTACATAGTTGACCATGGCGACTGCTTAACAGAGATTTATTATAGTTACGTTCCGTTCTGAATTGCAAATTCGTCATTGCTAGAGTAACGAAGAGTTATTCTCAATATCTTTTTTCTTCGAATGGTAAAAATAGGAAACAAGGAAATAAAACTGAGTGTATGGTGTAAGGTCACGCGTTTCTACGTTTGTGTTGATAGGAACGTCTTCGAAACAAACTGCGGTACGTTAGCTGGAAAGTAATGGTTTGGCTGGTTTCCATGAACTAAACGTGCATGCAGCAACTTCATCAAACAAGTGATTGATCGGTTTTAAGAATACAATACTGTTACAAATAAACGCTGAATTGTTGACGCTTAGTTTGAGATTGAGTGCATGCGGTGTAAATATTTTGAAAATAAATAACGGTAAGCGTTATTTGTTATGTGCTCGCCCTCCCCTAAGTTATAGTAGATGCGATGGATGTTTGCTCGTCATCGGCACATCTGTCGGGCGCGCGCGAACACATGCTCCACTCCAGATAAGGAACAAAAATAAACGCTGTTAATTCATTCGCCACTCACGCGCGCGCGGAATGCTCACCCATTCAATGCTCGCCGGTCGCCGGTCGCCGGTCGCCGCACACTATCACTTCCTCCACTTTCCCGATGGGGTCAAATTTCGATCGTGTTGAGAATGCGCCGTCGTCGCCCGACTCAACAAGTGCAGCGGTTGTGGTGGCTTATGGATCTTTTAAATTTGATAGCTAGATTTTTAGTTAGGGTCATCGACCGCTTTCTATGAATGCGTTAGTGTGTACGTTTCATGCATGGTATTTGCTATCACATGCATACGAGTGAAGATTGTTTACTCATAAGCCGCTATGATGTACCTAGGTACTGACTGACGACCGCCGATGTTGCATGTCGCTCATCATCAAGTTTACTATGAAAACACTATACTCTTAGGTATCACAGTCAACTCAAGAAAAAGTTTAACCGTTATATTCCTCATTATTATTCTCCACCGTGTCTCACTAATACGCTTTGTGATCACATAAGGAAATGCGATGAATCGCATAAGAATGCATCCTACTTACAAATCGATTATTAAACCGACGTTTGCTTTTGTCATTGTTATAATTATTTAAAGAAAATAATCCTAACATGTCGAAGGAACGCACATGCGTGCGTTAGTATATTATGTATGATGTTATTTTACTGTAGTTACGTCTATTTGTACAAGTGTACTAGTGCGTAGTAGGTAACAGGCGTTCAAAAACGTCGTTGTATCGCGCACATGAGAACATACACATTGGTCGTCAAACTCGGTCGGGGAAATCTTTGGCCTGGATAACTGAGAGTCTTTGTTTACTGTTTTGTAGTTGTTGAGCTGCGTAACCGAGGTGATCCTTATTCGAGTGGTATGTGGCGCGCGGCCTGCAGCGTGCTGTCTGCTGGTTGCGTAAACAGTCTGCTCCTCGACCGCGGCCGCGCTGCACGTGCGTACGACGCGCCACGCGCCACCGACATGACACCGCGTAATTAATAGTGAATATATCGCGCCCACAGTCGCATTGTTCAAACCTGAGCGCGTGCTCGAGCGTGACCGCTATGTTTGTGTGAATAGGATTATTAAATATCGTGCAGTGTTTTGATTCTCGATCAGTTAGCGTTTCGAAATATCGGTCAGTGCGTCCAGCCAGATGGTTAGGAAAATAATAGTCGTCGGAATACGCCACTACGAGGATCCTTTTTATAAGTACGTACGGAAACGAAACGACCGGCGAGGTCGAACGTTCGGCCTCATCTCCCATCCGACCTCGTAAAGAGTTTTCCTCAAAGCGGCATCTGTACATTCGCAAGTTTCTCAGTGTGCGTTTTCGTTGTCCTCAGACATGTGACAGGCTCGACCGGGCCGCCCCCGGGATGCGGCCACCAGAGGAACAGATCGCTGGACTCGGTCCTGCAGAGGATACCCGAGGACGTGACGCCGACGTCGCCGGAGGGCGCGCCGCTGCGGTCGCCGCTGGAGGCGGGCGCGGCGCGGCTGGCGGCGGCCGGCGCGGGCTCCGACGACTCCGGCATCCACGCGCCGCCCGACGCCGACGTCGACGATGCGGAGCCCGTCCGTCGCCCCGCGGCCGCCGCGCGCTCGCGCGAGAGCCTCGACTCCGGCAACCCCGAGGACGCCGACAAGCCGCCCGACCCGCCCGACGCCGCCGCGCCCGCCCAGGACGGCGACGGTGACGGCGACGCCCCCGATGCGGTCGACGCGCATCGAACTCCCGCCGCCTCGTCTAAAAACAAAGACTTTCTCCTTCGCCTGTTCGAAAGTAAACTGTTCGACATGAGCATGGCGATCTCGTATCTGTTCAACTCGAAGGAGCCCGGCGTGCAGACCTATCTGGCCAACAAACTGTTCTCGTTCCCCCCCGACGACGTGGACTTCTACCTGCCGCAGCTGGCGACCATGTACATAGAGATGGGGGACGTGGCGGACGTGCTGCGGCCGTACTTGGTGCACAGGTGTAAACGGAGCGCGGATTTCTCGCTGCGGCTCGCGTGGCTGTTGACCGCGTTCGAGGGCGAGGTGAAGCGCTCGAAGGCGTTGAAGCTGCGGGACTCGATCCTGGCGGACGAGATCCGGCCCAGCGCGGCGGGGGCGGGGGCGGGGGCGGGGCTGGGTGCGGGCGCTGTCGGCGCGCGGCGCGGGCACCACCGCTCGCAATCGGACGCGTCGGCGCTGCGGGCGCCGGCCCCGTCCGCGCGGCACCTGGGCGACCTGGCTTCGGGACGCGCCTTCGACAACGGCTGCCTCTGCGCCGAACACTGCGTGTGCGGGGCGCCCCGACTCACGCCGCAGATACAGGTAAACAAACACAATATTCTTCGATAATATTCATTGAACATGAACAACCGATGCCGGTGTTGAACTTATACAACAAATTATTGACGCCTGGGAGAACTTGCAGGACGCTCTAGGTGTGTTTTGCGACTTGTCCAAGGCTTTTGATTGCGTTTTTCATGAAACATTACTCAGGAAACTCCACCACTATAGATTTAGAGATACTGATCTGGATCTTATTGCGTCATACCTGGGTTGACATTAATGGCAATAAGTCTGCGGGTTCGCCGGTTAAAATGGGTATTCCGCAGGGCTCAATCCTTGGTCCTTTCTTATTTTTAATTTATATTAATGACTTGCCTTACTATGTTAGAGATAAGCATGAGATAGTATTGTTCCCAGATGATACATCACTTTTATTTAAACTCAAACGTAAGGAATCAGTTATTGACGACGTGAACAGTTGTACCTCTAAGGTAGTCCACTTGTTTAATGTTAATAATTTATTATTAAATGAAGGAAAAACGAAATGTATGAAATTTGTATTACCTAATGTAAAACAGGTAAAAACCAGTGTGAATATAAAGGATAGGAATATGGGCCTTGTAGACACCACAGTATTCTTGGGGATTACTTTAGATTCTAAGCTTCAATAGGGCCCACATATTGATAAATTGTCAAATAGACTTAGCTCTGCAGCATATACCGTAATGAAGATACGCCAGTTAACGGATGTAGATACGGCCAGATTAGTGTACTTTAGTTATTTCCATAGAGTAATGTCGTACGGAATTTTATTGTGGGGAAACGCCGCCGACATTCAAACTATTTTGGTGCTGCAGAAGAGAGCTAGTCGATCAATTTATATAATCTTAAAGTTAGGGATTCCCTAAGAGATAGGTTTAAAGAATTTGTTATAATGACGGTCGCATCACAATACATTTACGAAAATTTATTACTTGTAAGAAAAAATAATAATTTGTTTCTTAAAAACAGTGATGTTCACACACTTAATACAAGAAACAAAAATAAACTAACTTTACCTGCTACTAGGCTTCACAAAATCAATAATTCATTTAAAGGTCTTTGTGTTCGCTTATATAATAAAGTCCCAAGCAATATCCAAGAGTTAAGCATAAATAAATTCAAAGATAGTATAAAAAAACACTTATTAAAAAAGCTTATTACAAAGTGTCTGATTATATTACAGACAAAAATGCTTGGGTTTGAACTGTTCCAATCATTCCAACAGGTTTTCTATATTAAATAAATCATGATTGTATTGACGTTGTAAGAACATAATGATTTGTAAATGTTGTTACATTATGCTTTTAATGTTGTGGAGTTTTTTCGCTCGTTTTTCTCCGCAGCTAAAAAATATGTCCAATAACGAGTGGTAGGGAAAAAAATGTTTGGACGATTCAAAAGTGTTGTATTATACATCCAATTTGGTAAAGATATATTGATTTCTGATTGTAAATCCTGTCATAAAACCAGGTGTAGCATATTTTCTGAAAGGTAGAAAAATAAAATTGTTACGCCTCATTTTAAAAGTGATTTGTCAAAATTCTTGTAAAACAATAGTAAAATTCATGTTGAAAAGAATATGGGAGTGATCGAAACTAGTAGCTACAATAGTATGGGAATATTTTGGGTTTCTGAAAGAAAATTTGCCATAACTCTCTTAACAGTACCTATAAATATCCCTTGTGAAAATCGACTTCAGATTGAATGTAAATATTCTCTACTACATTTCGTATTCGTTTCTGTAGATTTCAGAATTTAAATAACAGCAAAGGCACCTTTGCTGAGAAATTAAATTTCTTTTCCCGTGGACTTGAATGATCGTAAATACAATTAAATTTTTTTTTTCGAAATAAATTATTACCCAATGGCAACTTAATTTAATTTATAAATTGCATCCAAATCAGTAGTATCTGTGTGATTGAGTAACTTATATACAAACTCGTACAGTTATATGTGGGCTATTATGACTAGTAGGAAGTCCAATGTCCCGCTTTTTGAATATTGATAAACAGATATAAATAATATTCATCCTGAGTTGGGTTTAGGGGAGCGATCGACACAGTGACCTTTCACACGAGCTGTGTTGTGTGTGCATAATGATACCCCCCCCCCCCCCACACACACACACAAACAGTCAAATGGCGGGTCTCAATTAATAAATAAGGATAACAACATGCATGAGTGTATATAACAGCTTTAATTTTTTTTGTTCATTATTTATTTAGAGGCTTTCATTCTACGAATATGCCAGCCTCATCGTAACCCTAACCAAAACTTATTTATAACATCAGAGAGCGCGAGCTATTCTTATTAGCGAAAACCATATCAAACATTTCTAAAAATTCTGACGAATGTACTTTATTTTCTTTAATTTTATCAAAAACTGTAACAAGAAAAGCTTTTTTCCTTTTTTTGCCAATAGTTGATATGTAAAACGCTGATATGTTCATTCAAAGTTCGATCTCACCTTCAAAACCTCCGCAGCGGTGAGGGAAATATATTTATTTATTTATATAAGTATAAGACACGCCCATATACTGTTGTATAGGTACATAACAATGTGCTTCAGGAACTGATGTATCGCGACGTTGGGAGGCGTGTATTCTCCTTACTTTGTGAACCGGGTAATGAACTGGAAATGACATACTGACTCAGTCACAGCCGTAGCTTTGAACGCGTCATCTGCGCGGTGACGTGACGTGTCTCTGGCTAGAGATGTCCGACTTATAATCACTGGATTTAGAAGTTCCACGAACTGTTTTTATTAGCAATGTCCAAAAGTAATGTTAGTTTCATACGTGAGTTTCCGATTTTTATTTGAGCACCAATCAGTATGTAGCGTGAAGTGTCAAGAAATATTATATTTGTAGACACTTTAAACATTATACTCTCGTTGGTTGAAGAATTAATTTTAAGGAGGGTGATAAGTTATCGTTGACGTGCTGCAAGATAAGATTTTTGTTTGGCATTCATTAATGCTACTTAAATACATTATACGCAAGCGTGTAATAAGCAAGCCCTAAGTGGAAAAGCCTATCTCATTTTTAAATAACGGTAATGAGCTTGATAAATTTATATATTTCCAACGACGCAATACCTTCTAAAGATTCTGTGTAAGATAATTAGATAATCCACATTAACTACTTAATTGAACGTAATGAAAGTCATTGTTTCATTTCGAAGTAAGTGTAAATTAGTTGGAATGGAATTCAGACGCTGTACCATGGTTCCTTTGATTAATTCATCTCTGGCGGTCTAGCTGAATATCAAATGCTGGTAAAAAAATATATGAGGAACTCACTGTCGAGCATGAATTCATTGATTAAATTCTAAAGTTGAGGTTCATGAAGTCTTTATAGGGCAACCTCCAAGTAAAAAAATATGCACGGGAATGTTAGAAGCTGGCACAAATAAACAATGTATATTTATTGTCTGTCAGTAAAAACAGGTAAAAACTAATGAAAGTTAATATGATATAAATTAAACGGGTTGAAGAGCGTAAATCTATTTTTATGCACGTCAAGAATTATGTAAAAAAAATGGGTGCGTGTACTTAAGTAGGCGCGTGAGAAGTTATCCTTCTTTGGCATCGTTTAAAATTAGTTTTTAATTGCATGCAAATAATTAATTACAATAAATTAATAAAAAGTCTGGAAAAGGACACAGTCAATAAAGTTCAGTTTTAATTTGAAAAAATAAATAAATAATCAAAATATTCAATTAAAATCGCTACTGAATATAATTTATTAGAACATATGTGATTTGCACTTGTATGAAACTCAAACACGTAATCCGAATATACAAACTAGAAACATATGGATAAATATTATAAATATGTATACCTATAACTGTTACTTTATTACAAAAAAATAAAGATGTGGTTTTTGGTTCTACTACACCAATGGTCAAGAGATGGCGCTGTAGTCTCCTGAATCGCGCTTTGGTTCCGTTGTTCCAGATTAATAAATACTTTTGATATTATAAACATGAATACCTATAACTGTTACTTTATTACAAAAAATAAAGATGTGGTTTTTGGTTCTATTACACCAATGGTCAAGAGATGGCGCTGTAGTCTCCTGAATCGCGCTTTGGTTCCGTTGTTCCAGATTAATAAATACTTTTGATAGGCCTTCACAATGCAGTCGTTAGCACCCACTAAATAGAGATTCTATTTCTATTTTGTTGGTAGATTTTCTTAATGTGCGGTAAACACTGTTAAAATTTTGTGTTACAGTGATGCGCGCGCATCTTAAAATTTCACTCTCATCATTTTTTCATAACGCGCCTAAAGAAGTATAACTTCAAAAATCAGTTAAACACAGTTCATACCCGTTTAAAACTATTTTATTCGATGATTGGTGTGCGTTGTGCGTGAAATGAAATGTAAGAATCAAGTATGAAAACTTATATGCATATGCTACCTTTGTTATCCCGTTAGAATGTAGCAGATAGTATTACCATATGAAAGTATCAATCATCCTGATCTGTTATCGACCTTAATATCGTTAATCGTACCTAATAAATCTATTGGAGGAATTGTCGACCTATATAGCAGTTCCATTAGCGTCTACAAAACAAACTATAGACAAAAGTGTATTACTCAGGTCTGGCTGAGTACGGGCTTCATGTCAATGTTTAATTGATTTTTTAAGCTATTGCATAGATTTTATCGCGGGCTTTGAGCGCGGCGACCGAATCAAGAAATTCCTTAACAGAAATAACCTGACAACAGTGCATATGAACACAATTTTCGCTTTTCCAGTATCGGTCGAAACGACGCAGTGTTAAATTTTTGCCACGGGACCAACGTTGGCCGCATCATCGCGGTCGTCGGTTCAAATCCCGCACTCGTATTTCTTATTTTTTCCTTTTTTTATATATATTTGTTTTAGACCCCAGCACCTGTTCTAATTTTTATTTGTCTCCCTTTTTTTTAGACTTTATAATTATAATTTAAATTTTTGGACTAAAGATGGTAAACTGTGGAGCTTGTG